GTACAAGGCATGCCCCTCGTCGCGCGTCATTGGGGTGGCTGCCACGCTGCGTGCCATGCACGAGAGCCATGTCAATACCCCTTGAAAAATTGAAAGAGCTCGGCCAGCTGTCAAAGTTGAAAGGAGGCGTAATTCTTGATCGACACATAGTCTAGAGGCCACCAAAGCAGATATCATTGCTGGCACCTGCCCACGACGTCAGACTGGGAGGCCATCGAGTCGACGCGAGGGCGACGAAAGCTTTCCGACACCCTTTCCTTCGTCGCACCACGGGTTTTCGAATTCAAGCGTCGAAACCCGCTGCTCTTGACAGTTCGTTCCTGTATGTGGAGTACTCGAAAAACTGAGCGTGGGCTGATTTGGTAAGCGTATCACTCGGCCGTCTCAGGAGCTTACCCGCCACTTTTTGCGACTACCGTTTGCATTTCGAGCTACATGTACAGTTGGCCAAAGTACGCGCCGCATGATGCCGTTGGACAAGCACAGTGGAGATGCGGGTGCGGTGGTGGGGTCGTGGGCTTTGCTTGAGGGGAGCGCGCCGTCGAGCAGGGATGGATAAGGTCCGGCGTTCGAAGAGCAGCGTGAAGGTCGCAATGTAGCTGCGACGGGCGTTAGTAGATGGAGCGAAGAGGACAATCACGCAACGTGACCCTTATGGACCTCTACATGGTTCAACGTGTTCGCTCAGATGCGACATTACTTCAGGCGATTCCGCGTCTGTTTAACTCGATCTCAAAGGTCTCTATTGAGCGACGTTTATTCTCGTTCTCTGTCATGCATATGAACACGCTGCGCTGAAGTGTCAGGCTGAATCCACCCAGAAAAAAAAATGCCCTCTGGATGGGGCCGTCGGCGTAAAAATATGATAAAGAACCCCGTGTATCGTACGGATATGCCTGCTCGAAGTAAGAACTTTGAAAATAAGAACGGGTGTTCAATCTGAGGCAGCCAATAAGCATCGAGTCTTGACCAATGTATGCGGGTGCCATCTGTATCGCCTTCGTCAAATTTGAACCCCTTCCATGCGTCATCTACAACATTAGCTAACCCACACTCCGAAGGTTGGTAAACCCATTCTTCTTGTTTGCCCACTCCGCCTCCTAAGCTGTTCTTGGCAACCTCTCCTCTCCCATACTGTACACACATACATGCTTGGGGGGGATTATACGACTATTTTGTACGCTTGCATCAGAATCAGTGGTGTCTCGTGATGAAATCCGCCCAGAAAGACCTGTCTGTGTCCTCTGCATAGTCAAGTAGGGCAACAATCGGTTTACACAGAAATAACAAAAGGACCCCGTTAATCATAGGTGGATGCCTGCCCAAAACGAGAACTTGGCAAATGAGAATATGTGCTCGGTTGGAAGCAACCACTAAGCGTCGAGCCTCAAGCTACATGAGCGGTTCTTTAGTGGTGGCGCGTCCTGTAATGCAGTGGCATTTCGAATACGAGATCGTACCCCTGTTTATTGTGTGGGTTACCCTGGCAATTTCAGGTTGAGGTCCCCTAATGCAGCGGTTATCAAACGTTGGTGGCGGTGAGGTTCCCTACTGGAGAGGTTCCCCTTGCACTTTTCCGGGAAACGGCCCCCTAGTCTAATGCACAGGTTCCGTAATGCACTCACTGCCGGTGCACCACGCAAACCGCGAAACCAATGAACATAGACTATGTGTCAGTGCCAGCGCGTACATCCAACATCCCTGTGAGGGCAACTCTCGAGAAATGCGCAACGCGCTGAATTCCAATGAATGCCGAATGAGTCACACACCACGGCTCTACATAGAATACCTGCTCTCGCCCGAACCTAGGAAGCCACAAATATAAACATACAAACCGGCTTGAGTTGACCGCCTAGGCTTTCGTACCCCCTAGCTGTTACGACTTTTGTGCGCCCATGTTTTTTTTTTTGCAGCCCGCCCCCCCCCCCGGCGTCGCACAGGCAATTGAACCGCATCTCACAGCACACCAGCTAGCACAGCAGGATTCGCACACGCCGTCTTTCATCGTGGACGGCAGCAGCTGCAGAGAACGTTAGGTAGATGAATGTTGTTTGTAGAGCTGGACGGGCCCGCTCCCACCAGGTGTTGTTTGGGACCCAACCTCGACTCCCTTTGGGGTGTGGCAATTCTCCTGCGATGGCAACATCAGCAGCACGGACAACATCTGCAGCCGTAGCAATCGGGCAGCGCTCTCTTGCGCGATCCCCGACAGTTCTCCTTGGAAGAAGTGGTGCAAAGCATGCATGCAGCAGCTGGGTACGCTCTAGAGCATCACCACCTTGGTCCTTTGCGAGAGCTGGGAGGCTGCCTCGGTCGCTTCAGCACGGATCGAGCGTAGTGCCTCCGTGTGCATCATGGGCGAACCAGGGTGGCCGCCGTGGTGTTGGTGCAGGCAATCGGGCGCTGTCTTCCTTCCTCCCTCGAGGAGGGCGTTATTCGGACTCTATGATCGTCTATGGTGTGGTTGGGGTGAGTGGTTCACACTCCCAGGAGAGCAAAACACGGGATGATGAGGGAAACACGCGCACGGCCCTATTGTCCAGAACTCCGCCCGTGTCGAGTCTAGTCTAATCCCTCCTGTGTTGTGTGTATCAGTTTTTTTTTTTTTCCCGCGAGCTCGTGCGCCTCTATTTCGTATCCCGACGAAAAACATGTTGTTTGTTTTCTTGGCACCTCACGACGTCCGGATCCAACAAGATGTGTATCACACCTCTTGCCTGTGTGGCTAGACCCTGCCCTCCCAACACTGCTTCTATGGATGTGGACGAACTATGTGTAGCAGCAGTGGACTATAGTAGGTATCGACATCCGTGTTCTTCCACGCTTCTTCGGTTGGATGCATCGCGAATCGCGTCCAGCACAAGTTGCCGCCTGTGGACCGTGGCGTTTAGTAGCTGGAAGGTGTTGTTGCAGGTTTTGCTCCGGGAAGCACGCGGGAAGCGGATGGTTGAATGAAAACACAAGAAAGCGATTTTGTGGACTCTCGCATTCGACTCAGCGTCATGCTCGGTTCTAATCCCGCTCCCTACGGTACCGTAAATACCACCCTTGAAGTGCCTGGTCTCTGACTCTCTCTTCGCGTCTGCAGTACCAACCGTTTTATTGTTGTGCGCTCGAAATCTGTCCGTGTCGGCGGAGTCTTTTTGTTCTGTGTGCGTCTATCTTGCTTCTTCATACCTTCCGTTTTGGGTTACAACTTGTGCCGTATTTCTCTTTTCTCTCTCTGCGCCCCGTGTGGATGTCCAGCTGAACGTGGCCGGAACGGTTGCAATTTACCTCCACGAGACTCAGGGCGCCGGCGGTCCTTTCCTCTTTGTGAGTGCCAGTAGCGGAGATGCACGAGAGGACAACCGGTGTCGTGGTAAATGGTGTGTCTTGCGCTTTTTCTTTCCAAGCAATGTTTTGTGCTTGACGTAGTCTTCGACAGCAAGATGGGAGGGAGCTGTAGTCATGTTGTGGGAGGCCCTCCTATCGAACATGAGGTGCAGCAAATTGACGCTTCAGGAGGCATCCACGGCAGCTCTGTTGCGGTGTGTTTACCTGGCATGTGGCTGCATCCTCTCGCCTCTGCCCTGTTGAATGCCATTAGATTTGTAGTCTCTCGTCCCATGTTTTGCTGTTTCTTCCCTGCCGTCCTGTTTGGCTGGAATGGTACACTATGGACGTACGAGAAATGCGACCAACCCGTGCCAAGCCTTTGCGTTTTGGGTGCCGGAACAAACCTCGACTCGGCGGTTCGCATCCCGTTTGCTGCTTTGCCTCCTCTGGCCTTCTCTGCGCATGATGTAGCGCCTCTGATGTTCTTTCTTGTCCCCGCCGCCCAACTCTCCCCCCTTAAGGGTAACTTCATGGTGTCGACCTACACCACGCTGATGCAGGGGAGGCTACACACCCTGTTGACATCCAACTTCAGCCACAGGTATTGCCGGCGGAAGCAACTGCCGTGTGCTATTGCCCTTGGCGTATGCTCTTGCCATAGGCCTCACGGGAATAGCCGAGTATTGCTTGCGGGATCCATCGGTGCGTGGCACATGGTGTCTTAGCGCATCCCCCCCCCCCTCTTTCTCTCGCCTCACTGCGAGCGAGCAGCACCCAAAAAAAAAGGGCGCTCTTTGAGTGAAAACCTTGCATTTCGCGACACCGAACTAACACCTGTTCCACTTGGTCACGCAGTGTGCATGCTGGCTTGAAGTCAGTGGCCTTTGATGGCATGCCCTCCCCCCCCGCGGCTTGATGTTGACTTGCGAGTTTTTTTTTTTGCTTTTGGTTCGAGTCAGCTTGCGGATGTTGCGTTTCGAGACGTCAGGTTGATTAGCTTGTACTAAATCTCTTTCTCTCTGGCGACCCAATCCATCCCGGAAAAAACGGAAACGACTCCTCACTCATATCTGTCCATGGCATCAAGGACCCCGCGCCCTCCCCCGGTTGTGTCTTCTCCGTACTCCTGTTGTGTGGTCGTGATGCCACTTGAAACAACAAAAAAACACATAGCAATCTCTGGAACGGCGCCATCTTCTCCTACATGATGTACACGCTGGGGCCGACGGCAATCCAGCACCTGGGCAGGCGGCAGTTCCTGGCGCTGTACCTCTTGGGCGGGGCTTTCTCTCAGCGTGAGAAGACCTTCTCTACGTGGATGTTCATGTTGCTCAGCTTGTGATGCTGCCCCTCTCCGGTTGTTCTTCGAGAACACCTGCTGTGCGGTATCGCGTAGGATTGTCGATCACGGGATTGACGCGAGAAAAGTAGGACGCTTGCAAAGGCAAGGACAGCAGTACCACCAGCAGCAGCAACAACAACAACGACCGCAGTAGCGTAATTTCCTGTCTCTCTCTCTAAACGGCCTTATCCACTCTGTCCTCGCTCGTGCGCTTGCTGGCGTCGGCAGTTTGCCAAGTGGCAGGGCCGGGCATCGCCAGCCGACTGGGCCTCCCCTCCGTCCTCCAGGTAAACGGCTCCGTCGTGGTTGTCTTGGTAGTGCTGGTAGAAAACGCATGGTTCCACTTCACGGTGACACAAGATCAAACGAAGTCATACAGCCCAAAAACCTTGGCGAAGCACAGGAGACGTTGTGTCAGGTGCTGTGCCTGTGCCTTCTCCACACGATGCCACAGCGGAAAAAAGCGGCACAAACCGAGCTGATACGCCAGCGGCGACTCCGCGGCTAGCGGGCGATAGGCAATGCTGCAGGAAGTTCGATGCGATGGTATGCTAGGGCTCTCGCCGGCTCTCGTGGACAAATCGAACGATTTTGTTTGGTTGCTGCTTGCCGCTTTTCAACGTTGAACGAGAAATGGCTGCGATATACAGACTTCTTCATGGGCCCTGTACATGTATAATCTCTGCTCACGTGCCCTTTCTTCGCACGTACCGACAACGGCACCTCCTGCTACACGCCAAATTTGGCGAGGAACGATGTTTCCGCGAACACTGTCCTGTGGGAGCCGGTTCGCCCTGATATTTCTATGTGGGTAACATTTTGCACAGCTCGCCCGCTGTGTATTACTGTGCACATCCCTCTGCATTGCCGAATTTTGCACACCAGCCTCCACTTCTCCTCTGTCGTTGCCTGAGTGTGGTACCTCTGCCTTTCTCTCGATTGTCCACCCCTACCTGTTTTTGAAGGTCGATCCATATTACTTCAGTTCCGGGGGCTCCGGGGCGACGCTCGCCGTCCTGGCATGGTACTGCGCGAGCTTCCCCAGCAGGTGCTTCTCCCACGGTTTTCCCCCTTCGTGTCACTGGTGTATGTGTTCCGCATTGCCTCTGTACTCCTCGTCGTTCCACATAGTCGAATTCCACCCCACCTCTGCCGCGCTCCGCAACGTGCTACAGTGCTGTTTCGAGTGTTTCCCACCTTTCAGTGTTTTTTTTTCCCCTTGGTTTGTGGTTTTGGTTTGCGCTTTGACTGCATGTACATCTCGGAAGCCGTTTGATCGTGCCGGCCGGGCTGTTGTGCATTTGCGCAGGCAGGAAAGGCACCGTATTGCGTGTCAGGAGCTGGCTTTCACGAAGTGACAGTACCATTCAGGAAATGTCTCGCAAGAACGGTGTCGAAACTCCCAGCGTGTCATTGCCGTGCGCACTGTGGCGAGCCACGGCATGCACTCCTCGACCCCTGTCCTCGACCCGAAATCCCCGACTTCACACTTTTTGTGCTGCCTCCCTGCCCTGCGGCGCAGCCAAATCATTCTGCTGGTGGTACCTGTGCAGACGGGCGTTGCGGGAGCGCTCTACCTGGGGGCTACGCTGTATCAGGTGGTGTCGAACGGGGCGGGGGTGCCGTTCCTTGGGGGACCCACGCAGGAAATTTGGAGAACCCTGGGAGCGGCCGCAGCGGGAGTCGTGGTGGCGCTAGCGTCGCGGGGAAGGGGCGGCGGGCGATACAAGTTCATCCAGAGATACTAGGGGCGAGGGAGAGCAATGTTTCGGCGTTGAAAGTTTGCGTTTGGCGTGTATTGTGTACGCAGAGCGTTCCTGGTGTGGGCTCCGGCAAGTCTCGGTCTTTGAGTGAATACTCGTATTTGTTAGGCTGTCCTGCTTTGCCGCGTGCATTACCGAGAGGAATGATGGCCGCAGTGATGTATCCGCGCGCGCAACAGCTATACTTTGGACAAAGGAGGGCCTGCTATGCTTCGAGCGGCGGTGTAAGGATGGGAGGGCTCGCAGGTTCAGCTCAAGAATGTGGCGTTTTGCTTTCCGAGCCAGTGGCTGCCCATGTTGAATCTGTATTGCAATTGTATGTCTGGGATGACTCTACATGTAGTATTTGTTGTTTTTGTTGAGAGCCTACGGACAACTTCTAAAATACTTGCTAGAAATTATTGTGGTGGCACTACTGCACCTGCTGCTGCTGATCCACTGCTGCTGGTCCTAGTGGTCTGTCTCCGTCACTGGAACAAGGTTTTGATGACACGCCCTTGACGCGGTTTCATTGATTGACTTGTCCATCATCTCGGACCACCTACTGTACGCGAACAACACGCAAGCACTCCGCAGTTTGCATCTCGTGTTCTCGTCAAGGGCTTTCTTTTGAGGATACTTTGGCATGGGCAATGCAGGTTTTAAGCATGAGTGAGCCAATGTAGGAATTCAATTCCCCCGCGAGGTTGACCTTATGCAGTACAGCGCTCGGATATTTGTCTGCGCCGCGAGTGCGTTTTCGTGTGATTTTCATTCGTCTCTCCGCTCTCCAGGTCGAAGGTTTAATCTAGAAATAGTCGCTCCTTTGGTCAACAGGACTCCAGCGACGGGACACCTCCGTGAATTTTGGCGGTTCCACGGGGATTTTTCGGTCTTTCCCCCGAAACCCTCTCACCAAACGCCGCCACATTTTGCTCTAAGACCGCGAAAGCACGTTCGTCGAGGAATATTGATGAGAAGGATGACCCTCCCATCGTCCGTATTTGCCACTGTCAAAAGAACTGTGCGGAGGTCTCACTCGCATTGTTCTCTGACCTCACGAGTGACTCCAGGGCTATGCTCAGTCAACATTGATCGAAGCCGACATAGCAGAAGGCTTACCTGCGTTGTGCCGGTGCGTGCGCAGAACGTTCCGGCACTAAACCGGGCACCCGGCACTGTTGCGAACAGTGCCAAAACGGCGGCATTATTGAAGGCTGCCCAATCCCTCATTAGTGCCGGTCTGGCACTAGTGAAGACGTGTTTGGTTTATGGTGTGGCGCTCACGCTTGCGGGGCCAACAGAGTACCAAATGGATCGACATTTACGCGAAGTTCTAGCGTGGGTTTGGGCAGACTTTCTCCACCCTGTCGAACCCACAAGAGTTTGTTGAAAAACAATATAGTTGCATTTCGGGCTGCAGCAGTACCTCACTAGCACTAGTCGACGGCGAAAGGAAGACGCGCGTCATGCAACCCTTTAACCGGTGACGGCAGAAGAACCTGCTTTTCAAGCTCCCGTTCGTCCAAAGCTTTTCGACTCTGTAGCAGTATGTGTACCATATTTCTCTCTGTGTGTTGTCTGTCCTCTGCCTGGTTGATTGTGTGTTTTTTTCCAAGGAGCATCGACCGTGCTAACCGGCTGACCAATGAAGTCAATCTCAGTGCGGTTGACAACACAAAGCACTTCAAAATGTCATTAACTGGGATCCCGTGAGGGGGCGGCAAAGCTATTCTCCGGCAAAGCATTCATCGAATTCCCCTCATTGACATAATTTTTTTGTTTGCACTAGCTACTGAGATCCCAACCTTGGCCGTGGTGCAAATTGGTCGATCGGGAGTCCATGAAGTTTGAAAACATATCGATTTTGTACCGACACAAAACGAGCCAGCTCGAAGATAAACCGTCGCCGAACACTTGAAAGGTAAACTACGCGGGGTGCAGCAAGCACGTTCTGGACGATACTTGGGGCACTGGGTAGTCGGCCGTGTTAGACCGAGAGAGAGAGGTTGAGAGAGAGTTGGAGAGAGAGTGGGAGAAGGAAACTTGATTGGAGAGAGACGGTGGTGGTGGTGGAGAGAGA